CCTCGCCGTGTATCGGGCGAGGCCGCCCTCGCTGCGTCGGGCGAGGCCGCCCTCGCCGGCGTCGGGCGAGGTCGTCCTCGCCGAGATCCGGCGAGGGCGACCCTCGCCGGTATCGGGCGAGTGCCGCCTCGCTGCGTCGGGCGAGGCGGCGTCGACGAGGCATCTCGCCCGCCCGGGAGCAGGGCAATCCTCGCCCAACTCAGGCGAGGGCTGCCCTCGCCCGATCTGGTGAGGGCGACCCTCGCCTGCGTCAGGCGAGGGTTGCCTTCGCCGGCGTCGGGCGAGGGCTGTCTTCGCCCGCCCAGGCAAGGGCGACCCTCGTCCGACTCAGGCGAGGGCGACCCTCGCCTGCGTTGAGCGAGGGCTGCCCTCGCTGGCTTCGGGCGAGGCAGCCTTCGCCTGGGCGGGCGAGGACGACCCTTGCCTGAGTCGGGCGAGGGCCGCCCTTGCCGAGTCGAGCAAGGGTGGCCCTCGCCGGCTTCCGCCTCTGGCCGGTCGCCGGACCAGTGACCGGCCACAGGTTGAAGTGAAGAAAAGAAAAAGAAAAGAAAAAAGAAAAAATTCAAAAAAATTCAAAAAAATAAAAAAATAATATTAAAAATTAGTTGGGGTAAAATTGTCACATGTGTACCAGTTTGGGGTTTTTTGTGGTATGTTCGGGGTAAAATTGTCACAGGTGTACCAGTTTGGGGTTTTTTATGGTCAAAAAAATAGTTTGAGGTAAATGTGTCATAAGTGTACCAGTTTAGGGTTTTTCGTGGTATTAACTCTTCCTCAAATATCAGTTTTTTATGAACCAGTGTTTGCGAAGGAAAATCGAGAATTAACAAAATTAGATAAGGTGGCAAAAAAAAAAAAGAAAAAGAATGAAAAGGCAGCACTATTTACCCTCATTTATCACTAACTAATAACCTAAATAAGGGAAAATTCTCAAATAAGGACATGAAGTGCTCTCATTTTCTCAAATAAAACCTAAATTGGACCTCATGTCAAATAAGGCCCTGAATGACCATGGAAGTTTCAAATAAAGTCCTGACCTCGCTAGTCGCCGGCCGGTCAAGGGCATTTTCGTCCAAAGACAAATTAAACATTCATCTTTCTAAATGCTATCCCTTTGTCTCCTCATGGTAGGATCTCACTCTCTTTCCTTCATTATGTTGATGCTTTTCCAATTTGAAGTATTTTTTTTTTTTTATAATCGAGGTGTCCGCGCGGCCGGCGAGCTAGGGCTCAAACCAGCGGTGATACCCGACTAGTCCTCGAGGGGGGCTAGCGCAGCATCCCACCGCCACGACCCCCCACTTAAATCACCGATGGGCGAGTTTGAACCCAGGACCTCTCGTAAAAGGAACTGAGCGCAAACTAACGCCGCCACCAATGGGTGGGTAAGTACTTTTTTTTTTTGGCTCAACCAAGATGAATAAAGAGGTGCATAATAGAAGTGTCACTTAACATTGGTGCCACCTGCGATGAAACCATTGCTGGCCACCGCACGACCACCAAATTCAGCCACTGGCACCCGTCCTTACTCATGCCTCTCTCTCTCTCTCTCTCTCTCTCTCTCTCTCTCTCTCCAAAAGCTCCTAATTCAAATGAGCTCTTGAGTTGAGGTTGCAGTTACACGAGCTTCAAGCTGAAGGCAAGGGAAGCAATGGTCGGGGGCCAAGGCGACGATTAGGGGTGAGTGGTCTCGGGTCAATCCGGGTTCCACATAAAACCTAAAACCTACCCATTGAAATCAGTTTCCAAATTTTTGAAACCTGGGACCTACCTACATACTCTGGAATCTAGAACTTATCATGTCATAGGTTTCAGAGTCAGTTTCAAGATTTACTCACGTTTTACCTGTATTCTTAATTGAACGATTACAGTGAATCATCACCTGTAATGATCATCATTTGCTGTTACAATCCATTAACCACAACTCATATTTAGACATACGAAAAATATGAAACATTAACAAAATAAAAGTCTCAATCATAGATATCGTCGGAAATGTAAGCTCAGACTAGTGATTCCAGATTACACACTCATCATCGAACGCCATGAATTACCGTAGAATTACGTGAGGACATAGAACAAGAAAGATACAAAGACTTATTCCCGATTCCCGGTTCCACTCGAAATCTGGAACATACCCTTCAAAATTGATTCCAAATTTTTGGAACCTAGAACCTACCCTACATATTCTAAAACCTAGAAATGTCCGATTCAACTTTGAAACCATGCCCACCTTTAGTGACAAAGTGACAATGGAGAGAGAGAGAGAGAGAGAGAGAGAGAGAGAGAGAGAGAGAGAGAGTGAGAGAGATGCAAACGTAGTAGATAAGATCTGAGGGAGGAGAGAGATGTTGTGTTGCGACATTAGAGGCGAGTGACAGATAAATGGTGCGTGCACGGTCAGAAGCCAGGGATGGGAGTGGCATATGGTGTTAGGCTCAGCATGGGGGTAGGGGCGAGGGCAAGTCTATTTGAAGCTTAAATCAAGAGAGTCTGATAGTTGCTTTGGAAGACAATAAAATCAATGAAATTTTCTCTTATGCGCCTCTTTGATCATCCTGATGGAACAACAATCACATTGTATTAAAGCATCAACTTAATGAAAGAGGGACTCAACCAGGAAAAAAAATCAAACCGTTAAAATGTAAAGATTTTAATTTGAAGGGTATATTGGTCAACTATTTATTAATGACTGGTTTAGCAACAAAAAGGGTAGAAATAGCGGCTGCCATGTCGCGACCTTGCCAGGGGTGAACCAACCAAGGGAAAGATAATCGATTAGTAAGCCCAAAGACTTAGTACGGACTCTCCCATGACCAACCAATCGCAACTTAGTATTCAAATTAACTTTTTAAAAATGCAATTTCATTCAATCATGAGTTGCCACTAATCAATTAGGGTCTATTAGAAACCCAAGCAAAGTACGAGAGAATACTTTACTTTTGCGAACCAGAGATTCAATAGGTTCGGGGACATATCTTTTATAGTCATAACCCTGAAACTTGATACTGATAATGAAGAGATTGCTTAGCGTTGTATCATGATTTTTCACTTTCCGATTCCTAACAACTAATTTTTTTTTTTGCATAGCAGAAGCCTAATACCTTTACCACGGAAGACCACTAGGGAACTCAAGTCTGAGTCCATCAAAATATTCAGTTGGACTCAATTCACTAAAAAATTTAAGCCAATGAGTTATGGACTAACTAGGTGTAACGACCCGATATGATGAGGGCGAGGAGTGATCGCCGAAGCTAGGGCCTAGATAAGAAGCGGCTCCTAATAGGCATCTAGAGTGGCAAAAAGGGCAAGAATGAACCGAATTGTATAATGAATAAGGGAAGAGCAATTCTTGAATATATATAATATATATGTAAAAGCTAGAATTAACTCACAAATACACATTTTGACGTAACAACAATGCCTAACTTTAAAACTCCCAGGATGGGTGACTTTTTTAGAAGCACCCACCTATACACCAAAGTACAAAACCGTGAGGTTTGATAAGGGACGGATCAAAGCAAACAACACCTCAGTAAGTTAATATAGAAATGTCACAATATGATATTAAGTAAGCCCCTCCAGTATGTCTATGGTTTGGGGATGAACCACGCAAAATCTGGTGGACTTGTAATAACCCGATCCGACGAGGGCGGGGAGTGGTCGCCGGGGCCTAGAAAGCCTAAACAAGGAGCGGCTCCCGGTAGGCTTCTAGGATGGTGAAGAGGCGGGAATAAACCAAACTGTATACCGAACAGAGAAGAGCAATTTTGAAATATAAGTGAAAGTTGGAATTAACTCACAAAGACGTCTTTTGACGTGACGGCTGCCGAGGAAAACTCCTAATGAATTTTGAAGCTGACAAAACTTTCTATATTTATCTTGTGAATCTGACATGCATTCCATTCCAGGTTAATATATTCTGGAAGTTCATAAGGAAATATCAGACTTTATAAATTCTCAGAACTAAAAGTTCAGACTCAGAATGAGAAGTTCAGACTTTACCATAAAAGTCATTTAGACTCTATTTTAAGTTTTCAAGGAACTTCAAACCCTATGAGAAATAGGTTCATATCTTATTAAAAGAATCCCACTAATCTAAAATCTGAAAGAAACGCAGACGCGAAAATCATGCAGACGAAGACGCAGAAGTTTTTCAGACGCAGAAGCAAAACTCTTTCAGAACGAAACATTACAGCTAATGATCTAGCATGGATTTCACAGAAGGAAAGTTTTGATTGTCTCAATCTAAGGTTATAATTGATTGACAATCAAACATTATGACAAGTATGCATTACAACGGATAAAGCTCTACTTATGGAAACCAAGATTCTAATTGTATGGACGACCAGAATCAGCGGGATTCAAATTTTGTCAACCAACGGCTACTCAATCCATTTTATACAAATCTGCCCAAGATGAAGATTGGAAGATGATCCTCTAAAGACTGTCCAACGGCTAGTTTGGAAGTGGAGGAGTATAAAAGGAGATCTACGAGGAGCAGAAGAAGAAGAACGAAATCGAGAATCAACAAGTTCAAAGTCTGAGTATACTCCGATCATTTCTCTTGTCTTTCTTGAGCTAAACATTAAAATCTTGAGAGATACTTTGTAAGAGTGATTGTGTGAGATAGAGAATCCTATCATACACAAGAGTGTTGTCACTCAATATTTGTAATTCCTCTTGATTACATAGTGAAATCCAGCCAGTAGGCTGTCAGCGTGGGAGAGTGGACGTAGGCTTGCTATAAACCGAACCACTATAAACTTGTGTGCAGTTTTTCTATCCCTTATTTCTTGCTTACATACTGCACACCAAGAGTACTGTCTATATAAATTGTTTTGAATCTGAATTTTATTCAGACTCTACTGTGATCAATCATTTCCGCTATAAATTGATCAAAATTGTTTAAATCACCTATTCACCCCCTCTAGGTGATCGTTGCTAGCTACATCAACGGCAATGCTTAACTTTGGAAAGATGCCCACTTGTACGCCGAATGACAAAATCGTGAGACTCGGTATAGGACGGGTCAAAGCGGACAATATCTCCGTTAGTTAATCCAGGGATGTCACAATATAGATATATTAACTGCTCTACACCATATAAATTCTTCGGTGTGAGACTTATTTAGCACAACTCACACGGACATCTCAATATTTTTGCAAATTTTCCATGCTTTCATATTTCTGTCCGAATCAATATCTTTGTTAAAAGAGAACCAATGAATTTCTTGAATTCCTAAATAACCGAAGAATTCCACGTGCGCCCGTGTGAATAATCACAGAAAGAGAAAGATACTGGAGAGAAAAGTGAGTCCTCAGGCATTAATCCATCATCTTGAAACACTGGAAGGGTCTATTTTGATGGGAGTAGAGATCCAGCAAGGAAGTGAGAGATGAGAGAGAGCGCTCTCTTGGGCTGATAGCTCGGCACCATATGCCCCGCTCCTCGTACCGTCGCAAACGTCAAGTCTCCCTCGTACACTTGCACGTACCCTCCGACCTACACGAGTCAAAGATGGTGCGGGTTACTTTTCGTTCAGCTAATCGAGCCAATTGATCCTCTACGAGGAGGGGATCCAAGACAAGAAAAATCAAAGGGTATGTAAGTTTAAGGGTCGATGTCGTGAAAACAAATAAGCCGTCTCACCTCGCCCCCGAGGAACCAAGGACGCCATGGACTCTTTGTGCGGAGGCTCATCTTGCTAAGAGACCTCTGGGTTGAAGTCACCGGCACTCTTCCATCCGTATCCCCGCTGCATTTTCAGTCATTCGTTGGTCATGCCCCAACTTCAATCACCCACAAACAAATACACTTATTTAATATATATACACATACACACCTGAACACCCAAACACGGAGCCCATTGGACATGAATTCTTGGAGGAGAGGGATGATGGTAAAAGGGCTATCTCCCCAGCTCTCGATAACAACACTGCACCCTTCCCAACGGTGATCGAGCTTCGTCACGTTAGCATGAAGTGCCTCTTGCACATCTTCACTGTTAAGGTACGCATGCATGTAGATGCCGCTACACGGGTCTAAGTTCATGATCTGCGAAAACAAGACGCAAACCGAAAATCTATGACCATTGCAAATTTGAGTTAAGGTTTTGCATATTATCGTTCAAAAGTGCAAAATCTGAGGGGAAAAAAAATAAGCAAATGGATTTGAGCTCACGTTGGTCTTCTTGGGATAAGCAGTCAGGTTGGAGAAGCACAAAGGGGCGTAGATGTCGTAAATGTTAATAGGAGAAACACTATTACCCACATCCGCCATAGCCGATTTGCATTGGCTTACTTGATCAGTGACATTTGGTGAAAAGTCACAATACTTTTGAATTGCGTACCATGTTTCTTGGGATATCAACGCATGCGTGGTGAAGTACTCGTACATTCCTTTATGATCCGTCTCGTCGTTGATTGCTGCATTTCCAATCTGCACGCATGTTCAAGTCGTCCATATACATCCTCTGTTAGAATAAATCCTCTGTTCTTTGAATTAGTTATATCCCATTATAGCAAATGGAACAATTGAGGAGAAGCTAGTAACACCAATCATGAGAACAACCACCAAAACACCTGTTCTACTCATTAAGACACCTAAAGGGTTTTTTCTTCGTGTCGATGAGATTCAATGTGGAAAATAAATAAATAGCCAGACGTGCACGATCATTTTTATCTTTTAATCATCCATTAGAACGCAGAAAGCCAGCACAAAAACACACGCAAGCTTAAAGCATTTCTAATTATGAATGTATAGACCTTAGGTGCTTCCAATGTTAAACACGCATTGGTCAAAATTTAATATGGATAAAGACTATGCAATTCGCGGAAACAACTTACTATAATCCCTTTGAGGTTGATAAGGGTCTTGTTTGCCTTCTTGTTGTTGGATAGGATGTTGTGAGCGAGCTGAGGTACGTAATGACCCGCGTAGCTCTCGCCTGAAATGTAGAAGTCGCGGTTCTTGTACTCGGGAAACCTCTCCAGCCAATTTAACAAGAATACATAATTGTCCGCGGCTGTTTTCCTGTCTCCATTCGCGCTATAGTCGGACGTTGTGTTAGAATAAGAAAAACCGACACCAGCCGGAGACTCTAGGAACAACACATTCGCAGCTGCCTCGCAAAACAAATAATCAATCCGCCCTATCAGCGAAAAGAAAAGGTGAAATACTTTAAAAAACCACTACACTGTATATTTTAAATACTTCACCTATATTCCATGCAAATTTATTTCTGTAGAGAGTCTTCCCGTCGCTATGGACTCGGAACGGTCCGAGTTCCTCCATTGCTCCATGGAGAGATGAACAACCGGGACCTGAAAAAACAGAATAAATAGCTAACTTTTACTCACTCAAACGCACCAGAAATTTTTTTAAATATGATTTACAATATAATGACAGAAAGATAACCAAAAGAATGATATAGATGGCTCATCTGTGCTTGTATATGTGCTGTCGAAAATTAAGAGGAGGACGGTGGTATATTCATTGGACCAATTCAATTCTGCAATGTTCTATATCACTCATAATCCATTCAGATGTTGGAATTGACAAGATGAATAAGGTAAATTAGAAAATGGCAAATCACGATAACAACTTTATGTTAATATACTTTGACTATCGCTGCACCTAAAAATATGAAAGACATACAGCAACGCTTGAGCGCAAAACACATGCTTCTTTAAGCTATCAAGGTGATAGCTCGAAGTGTTTCAGAATCAATAAAAAGCCGACAATTAGAAACGTGAATTAGTTCTCGTGACAAAGTTATATTCATAATTTAATGGCAGCATTAAATTCTTATATCAATTGATCAAGTTTAAGTTTAGCCTAGTATGACACCGTAACTACCATGCAGTTATATAGCTTGACTATAAAAACCGTGATAAATCCCCTAAGTCAAGAGAATAATACACTTGAATTAGAGACCAAGCGAAATTGGGAAAACTAAAGCACTCACCTCCGTTAAGCCATAGAAGAAGCGGCATCGAGTCCTTATTTCGCCCCGCTTCGGCAAAATAATAAAAAAGCGCTCGACCGGCTGATTCATCGACGGTGACATAACCACCATAGTGATCGAATTCGACCAGCGGTTGTCCAGGCAATCTTTTGATCCTATCTTTCTCCTTGAGTCCTTCTTGACGATAAATCCTAGAATTGAGACTTTCATGGTGATCACTAGCCTGGAAAAGGCTTGTGTCGATCCCTGACTTCTCCAATTTCGCTTTGTATAGAGAATCAAGAGCGTCTCCTTGCTTCTTTCCATGGATGTGAACAAGCGACGACAAGATACGTAAAGAGAAGAGAAGAAGAGAAGAACGAGCTTTAGGGTTTCTCTCCATTCTCTCTGCTCTCTGCTTCTTGCTCTTTGAGCCACGAGAGAGAGAGAGAGTGTGTGTGTTTAATGGTGGTTGTAGTATATAGAATTGGATTCGAATTAGCTGTGGATTTAGAAAATCGGAAGAAAGAGAAGATGGCAATTGGTGATTGAAGGGGAAAGTCTCCACAACCTGAGTAAGCTTTTGATTAGATCTAGGTGATATGACTCCAATATAGACAGTGTTTCCTCATCGGGAAATCCATGCCGCTTATTATAGAAATACTTTCATTTTATTGAATTGAATCGCATATAGTATATGATTTGTTATCAATATGGATATCGTGGCTTAATATTGATGATGTCTCTATATTTAGTATATTATTCTACAGCTTCCTTTTATTACCTTTTTTTTTTTCCTTTGATAACCATATTAAGTTTTGAAATTAAACTTTTCAGCACTTAATATCATTAGGTGTGTTTGATAACCACAAAATACACACAACTTGATTAATTGGTTTATGTAAAAAATCACTCATTATGGTAACCAAGAATGACTTACTTAATTAAGTGATAAAACATACAATGGAAAATAAGATTTTACTCGTTATATTATCAAAACCTTCCGATAATGCCCATTATACCAAGTATAGTTTGAAAACAATAAAACTAATTAATTAATTTCATTTTCATTACTTTTCAGCGCTTAATATTCATTATTTAAAACTTATTTGATCCTCTACCAATGCTTATTAACCTTCCTCACCAACGCTTTAAATTTTTCACCTAGTATATGAAATTACCAACTTTTTTATGTGACTAGCCAACTTTTATTTTTTTAATTTATGTACTACTTAGTTTTGATTTACTAACTCTCATTTGAATTGATTACCAATGATTATTTGGTTTTTTTTTAGGCTCACGTTATTTCCACCCTTGAAATAGATTTAGGCTCCCCTAAAAAATTTAAATGGTCTAAAATAGCCTAGTCTGAGACTTCATGAATGGTAAGATTGATGAAAGAGGAAAAATATACATTTTATCATTCTAAACAGTAGTTTCTTTTTTCTTTCTTTTTCTTTTTTTGTTCAATCGAAGAAGTTTACATGTTCATTTTTTTTTTACGAGAATCATCTAAGATTCAAGTATTTTAATAAATTTAATGATGAAGACTCTAATTTAAAGAATATTAGCAAAGTATAGCTATTTACAATGTCTCTCTAAAGTTCAATGTGGAATATAACTCTTTGTAATATATAATTCTTCAGTTCAAGATTCCTTAGGGGATTCTTTGGTAAATGTTGTGGACTCTTTATAATTGCCATTTATATTTAAATTATGTTAGTTATCAAAAGTTACCATAAAGGTTCAAACTCATCGAAAAAATATCCTTTACAGAAATCGGCTTGAACATGTTAGTAAGTTGAAGAGAGGAAATGAAGTCCGTATACAACACGAATGGAAAATAACATACGGTAGTGGAATAAAATATCATCGTTTTGATTAATAGGGATTGTCTTGTATTTCATGACAATGTGTGGCTTTTACATTTTCAATACATAGCAACTTTCACCGTTTTCATTTGCGATTTTAATTAATTAGTTATCTTGAGGTTATTTTCGTCACTCAACATCTAGGGATTGTTATACTCATAATGCATGATTGGGTCCATCGTCGCAAAGTTTTAGTGCGATTCTTCTTTTTATCCTTTGCATTTTCTGTTTATTTCTAGACTAAGTGGACGAGCTTGCTTGAGATGTTATTTTATTGTGTGTGTCCATTGGGTTTGATTAGCCAGAGGAAAAGAGTTGACAAGCAAGTGAATGACTTGGAATTTGGGATTGCAAACTCAGAAGAATAGGACGAAGATGACCCTTCTGATTAATACATGTCAAGCGACGCCATTTTTTGTGGAAATGTGAGTAGTTTGAGAGCTCAATGAAGGCTCCGCGTTGGTGATAACTACGACCGGACTTCCCTATTTTGTCATTGTCGCTACCTAACCCTCAAGGGCCACCTCGGAAAGTAGGTTTAGAGGTACTTTACGAGACACTCCCTAAGTCCGTATCTCACGTAATGTTGGTTGTCTAAATTTACGTGCTCTATTTGGAGTCGCCACTAGTTACGATTAAAGGTCGGCTATAAACCACAAAATTGAGACGTGGGAGTATCGTCTCGATACATACACAACCAGAGATTCTTAGGGATCGGAGATTTGATTACACTAGCTTTTCAATTAATGCCCTTTCGGTACCTAAATTCGACTATTTGTTAACCAACATGCCGGGCAGTCTTTTTTACTAATCGAGAATCTTGAAATTTCTTCCTAACCATTCCAAAGAGAACAACAAAGCAAAGTATTTAAAATGCACAATCAATTGAAATAAAAAATTGAAAATGCCCAAACAACGACCTAGCATTGTCTCTAAAAGAAAAAGCAATCAAAAAATTCCTAAAGTAAAGCCCTAAAGGCTTATTGAATTTTGGATTCAATTTTTGTTCAACCCTAAAGTGTTTATTGAAAGCCCTAAACTAAGAGAATTCTACATTTTTTTTTTAGCTTTTCTCACATTTTTTTTTATTTTTCTGAATTTTCTGAAATTTTTTATTATTATTTTTTATTTCGACAAAAAAAAGGACTTTGGACTAGAGGTGAGCAAGATGGACCGCCCGAACTGGGACTGGACTGGACCGGATCGGACCGACCGGTTTGGTCCGATTCTCGGGAATATCAGTCCGGTTCTCGGTTCCTAAAAGTGGAACCAGTTTTCGGGCGATCCAATTCTTGATTCTAAAGTGAGAACCGAATCGATAAATATATATTTTTCTAATTTTTTCATATATATATTTATTTACTTTTTTAAAAAATAGAAAAAAATAAAAAGCCTAATCTAATTTCCTCAATTCTCTCTCGCCTTTACCAATAAGTGATTGGTCCCATTAGAACCGATCCACGGTCCCAAGACTAGTCGGTCCGGTCCCCGATCCTAAAAACTGGGAACCGGTCCGATTCCCGGTTCTTGGGTTGGACCAGACCGGATCAGGAACCAATCACCCCTTACTTTGGACCCGGTCAAGGAACTCGGTCCAATTAGCCGCTCTGATCCGGACTCTAGCAGCCCGGGTCAGACTCGCAATTCGGACCGGTCCTTGGGCCCAGTCTGAATTTGGGTCTCTTATGATGGGCCATCACAACAAAATCAAGCCCAAATTGCTAACTTCTTTTGTTTAGTTCATGTTGGCCCAATTTCGAGTTCAGCCCAGCCCCATCACACCAATATTGATCCCATTTTATGGCCCAGCCTCCAACCCACTACGCTCTAGTCCAACCCGTCTGATTTATTTCCCTCTTTCCTTATTTTCTATTTCTTTATTTCCTTTTTTTGTTTCTTTTTATTTTTAAAATTTTTTTCTGGTCTTCTTCTTGAGACGTCTTCTTCACCCAGAACGCTCGCACAGAGAATCTCATGCCAACGACTTGTCACCGAATCAAAACTCTAAAACCTAAACACCTATGAACACACACGAAACAAGGATAGAGAACTCACTGCGGCGGCCTCAAACCGCTGGCTTAGCTCCGGCGAGGGGAATATATCTCCGACGGAAGTCTCATCCATGGCCGAACCGTTATGCATGAGTGCCACAGGATCAAGGGAAAAACACGGATTCAGTATTGATTCATCAATCAAAGGACAAATCAAGAACAAGAGAACTAGCTCCAATCATCGATTTCACAAAAATCAATGCGGTTCTTCATGTAAGCATTTCGTCAAGCAGGTGTTGCGCGGCTTAAAGGATGAACTTCCAGTTTGATCCGAACATGATTCTCAATCGAGAAGCGATGTATAAGCATCTGAATCGAGTTATTCTATAACAGATCGGTCGCATTTCAGCAAGGTTCTTTACAAACTCAGCAATCGGATCAACTTCTCTCGGCCAAAACAGTGTACATACACACAAAGAAAGAAGTCTTACCTGGTTTGGAAGGAAGTCTTCAAGATCGTCTACGAACAAGGAACTCGACAGGTCTGGGAGTCCTCCGGTGCGGCTAAACAGTGACGAACAACACCGACTCGCACTTCCGAAGTAACGAACCAAATGACGAACAAACTTTTCCGGCGAAGATGAAGGAGTGACCGGCGATCAAACAAGGGAATGAGCTAATGAATGCGGAGGGCATCCACAACCTTATTCTTCTCGACTCGTCTGCACCAGTGAATTCAGTATCAAGACAAGTCTATCATTGAGAAGGGAGTGAATTATGTGCCTGAGGCAAGAGAAGAAACCATGTGTATCATGTACCCTTTGATCTTTCAATGTTGGACCTTCTCTATCACGTGTAATTGTCGGTAACTAGCATCTCTTTCTCATATCCAGAAAATAGCCGGGACATGGAGGAGACTTCTTTTTTTCTTCTGCCCATCTCTAGTTGTAGTTGGGAAGTACCGTTATGCATATAGTTTAGTGAACGTTTTGCTCGATATAATGCAGCGATTTAAATGTGCTTTGTAGAGTGCTCGACAAAGACTGTCGGTGTCGGACAATACCGCAAAACCATCATTTTGGAAGGACATGACATAGGGTTATGACTTGTGGATGTTTTTAGCCAGTCTGTGGAAGCTGCTAAACTTTTTCTTCAAGGACCAAGCATCTATCAAGAGGAGCACTTGCACATAGGTACCGGAGTTTCTCCAGTTCACACTTGCAAATGGGTTGATTGCATGTTGAATGAAAAAACTAAGAATATTACTTACTGGAGACAACTAGTTTTTGTCCGTCCCCTGTTTTGCCTCTAGCTCATCCCATCCGGTCCCCCGAAAAAACAATACTTCGCTTTCGCCTTCGCCTTCGCCTTCGCAATTGCATCATTGGAGAAAATTTTTGAGCCGAGGAGAGAGAGATAGTCACAGGCCTTCGGGGGTTTGGTGTGCACAACTCTTATATACCCAGTGGCTTCTGATTATTGTAAGGGGTCATGCACAAGAAGTGGCTTGAATAACGCATGGCTGCATGCAGCCAAACCACAGGCACACACCACAGCAGCTTATCATCACCCCCACGTAGTGGTCCATTGAGCAGAGGGGCTTTCAACAAAAGTAAAGAACCTTTTAAAAAAAAAAGGTCGCTCCGCGGGGTCCATGAAGGCATCTCCCACCTGGGAACAGAAGAAAGAGAAAGGCGCATGGGCATGGCTCCACTTACTGAGATTGTCCCAAAAACACTCTTAACCATCGGATAGACATCTCTGACAGGAAAAATCAAATAAATAAATAAAACCATCACTAAAGGTCGTTTACAGATTAAGCTCACCAGCAATAAAGGTGAAGTCTAAAGAAGGAGAAGAGCTGGGACCCTTTATAAATGAGCCATTTCATATATTTAATCACATTGCGTTTGTTCACACATTTCAGTTTCAACAGCTGCACTAAAAGAAAAAAAAAACAATTTGGTTGAAGATAATTTGGTTTAAGGGGGAGGTGTTAGTAACTAAACCAAATTCATTAGATAAGTTGAAGTTGCCGATCATGCGGAGTTATCGATTCAATCGACATGTTGTCAATTTCAAGGTTGTCGATCGGTTACCTGATTGTCGATTTACAAGTTCGATGTCAATGCCTATTCAGCTCACAAGACCGGTGCGCATGAATTAAGAAGAGTATTTTATTTTAGTGTTGTTTTCAAGAGTTTGTTCATGTTTCTATGTCTAGTTAATGTTTTGTAAATTCCGGGAACTTATTTCCTCGGAATGCTAGATATATTTATGAGTCAATTTAGAGTAAGAGTCACATAACCAGACTATACATGGGCAAATCTTGTAATAGTTTTTGATAAGGTCAAATAAGGTGAAATAAGTAAAAAGGCATCTTCATCTCCTTCTTTTGAGTTGTGAACGTTTTTAATTACCGTCGAGCATCTTGAATCGACAATTCTCTTTCAGACTCGGCAACTTCAACTTATCTAATGAATTTGGCTTAATTACTACCAGGGACAACTCCTTGCGACAACAAGTAGTCGAAGTAAATATGGCGAGGACCAGCGGCAGCGACCGCGGACCAACGAAGGTGGCAGTGAATTCAAGTGGTACGACGGGGGTTCGCTGGCGATGTGCTCGTGCGGTGCCAGGCGAAATTAGCTAGGGGAGCCCATCCGGTCCGACGATGGTCTCTTCGGATCTATAATGGTGTGCATTGAATTAAATGAGATGGAACTCCCCCAGGTGATGCAGTGAAGGCGTGAATAATAAACAGTGTGGAGATTGTGGGAGCCTCTTTCACTCTCTGCTCTATTCGACCGAGAGCTTCCCTTTTTTCCTCTGAACTATGCAAGCTTCGGATCAATTGAAGAAATCCAGGAGCCTTCATTTGTGGAAAGTAATTCCTAGAAATTGCTCATGGTTCCCGAATTTCCTCAGATTTCTTTCCATGAATTCCGCTCAGAGTTGGTTGAATATCACCTTTCCATATGCGGTGATTTGGCCCATAAACAGTCTAAATCTTCAGCTCAAAAATATTGGAAAGAAAGCGTTAGCTTCCCGTTTACAGAAGCCGGCCATCACAGGAGAGTAATCCCTTGGCGGCCATTCGGGGAAATACGAAAAAAAGGAAAAAGACAAAGGAAAGGAAAAGAAAAGGAAAAAAAAAAACAAGAAACAATTCAAAAAATTTAAAAACAATTTGGGAAAATCATCCACGTCAGAGATTTACAGAGAGAACTGTATTGAAATATTTGAGACTCGGTGTGAGCTCCATAGATTCTTGATATTGTTTTGTTAATTGAGCCAGAAACAAAACCAAAGTGGAACACATTCCATGTACAATTTTAAGCCCTAAAGAACGAACAAGTTCAACTCTTTCTTTGTGGTTCCCTCTCTTCGCTAATTTTCCATGCTTTTTTACATTCCCCTCCGCATCAATTTCTGCGTTAATTGAGAAACAATGTAGTTCTTGAATTCCTAAATAACTGGAGATTTACATGGGCGCCCGTGTGAATAACCACAGAAAGAGCAAGATAATGGAGAGAAAAGTGAGTCCTCAAGCATCAATCCATCATCTTGAAACACTGGAAGGGTCTTAT